TACAGTATTTGTGTAGAATATTCTGTACCATACCAAGCAGTTAATTAGGGCAAACATTAAAAATAAATGAAAGCTTGATGAAGGCCTTTTCATATTGTGGAGATGTACTTCCCCAAGCTGTCCCTCCCTGATCTACCTCCCTCTCCGGCTAGGAGTAGTGATGTCAACAATTACACAAGTTTTCCCTCGTATACTTATAAAATATTTATATATCTTTATACGAGGGAAAACTTGTATAATGGTGGGCATCATTACTCCTAGCTGGAGGGGGAAGTAGGTCAGGAACAGCTTAACCCCTTAAGGACACATGGCATGTGTGACATGTCATGATTCCCTTTTATTCCAGGAGTTTTGTCCTTAAGGCAAGTACATACTGTGCATACTGGTGTCCGAAGCCAAATTTGTAGAGGATACACATTAACTACTTTGAACTCTTGTTCGTGGCTTGATAGTGATAGTGACGTGGCAACAGAGGGTTTGAACTCTGTATGTGCAGTGTTTCATAGCGAAACATTGCACAAACAGACTCCAGGCACCATGGCCACTTCAAATCAGTGAAGTGGTCATGGTGCTTGGAGCAACACTTCATGATATATTATTAATATGAATATATTATTAAGACTCACAATAGTATTTTTGTTGTACTATGTAAATCAGTTTATCATAGTTATTATATAAGACAAAATGTACCTTTTTCTCTAGTTCTGAATCACTCTCAACGCTGCTGCCCATCCCCCTCTTGTGATGTCATATTGAAGGATCGCCCCTCAAAGAGGAGAATTAGGAACCATAGACTTGTCACGATTCCCCCAGGATTCTCTTGTCTAAAAAAAGGTCCTTCAAGTAAAGTACCGCTAAATTAATTCAGTGATTATTTTAAAAACTGACACATTTTGCGAGAAAAACAAACATATTCTGACAAATAATTCTATAATACTAAAAATAAACAATGCCACAGGGCAGACAAATCAGATTATATGCCAAGATAAGAATCTGGTAAGCATCAGAACTGCACGTATCTTGTATTTTTCTTCAAATCTTTGTATAGTTTTATTTTGTACTGTTTCTAGTAAGCATACACATCTCTGTTGCAATTTTGGAAATAGATTTCTTTAGACAGATTCAAGAACCTCTCACTTCAAGCACCTCACCTTGAGTCTGAAAATCATTGTTATGTCTACAAAAGACACATCGTGTCAGAAGGAGAATTTGGATTTCTACACAGTCATTTTAACGTGTTAGCGAAATTCTGTTTTTAACTCCTGGTTAGTTCCCTTTCTGAGTGATCACCCACACAAACAAAGCAGAAACACAAAGCAGAATATTTAATTCTCAAGGTGAATCAATCAACATTTGTATTCTTTCTTTGTAATCATTTATACTTTATTTTTGTGTATTTTAAATGTCAAGAAAATAACTATCCTACAATATTGAACATTAAACTGCATTACATAACACATAACACAGCCCTCTTAAAGCCTACACATTTATGTTTTGTCGGCAGCCTTTTGTTGTAGTTATGTTACAGGTGGTTATGGTGCCAGGAGTGCTGTGGCGCACCCTACTGTTAGTAGTAAAACTGTTTTAGAATTGTTTGACTTCATATCTGTCACTCCTCACCCTCACTACTTCAGACGACAGCCAAAAAAATCTCTGTGAGCAATTTGCTGAGAGCAATCAGCCATTGTTGATGGTTTGCTGGTTAGGAGTAGATTGTGTGATTCTTGTGACTCTGCTTAGAATTTATCTTCCAGACGTGGTTCCATCTTAGTATAAAAGATCTTTTTCCCAGACTTCTAAGTCTGAGGTAAGTTTGTATTTCTCTTGGTTTATCTCTAATATTTGTAATGATTTTTTCATGCATCCCTTCCACTATCTGTTAATGCAATTCTACGGTGATAGCAGCTGCCCGTGGGAAAAATCCAACATGTAAGCCAGTGTTTTCCAAACCAGTCCTCAAGGCAGACCTTAAAGTCCAGGATTACCCAGCTGTGTCTAAGATGTTTTTAGAAAGAAAAAAAAATACCTTGACACAATAAGGTATTCCCTAAATCCTGGATTGGTAGGCGTGCCTTGAGGACTGGTTTGAAAACCACTGATCTAAGCAGCTAAGCCTTGCAACATAGAAAGTGTGACATTCTTATTCTGGGGAGTAAAACATTACAATATAGCATGGGAAAACTATGGCTAATTTGTGTGTGTGTTTTTTATTTTTATATCATCTAGTTGAACCAACTGTAAATTGATTTGCTTGAAGTTGGGGTTTAATATGGGAATGCATTCAGCAATTATTTTGCATCTGAAACTTCTGCTTAGTGTTACTCTTGACAAAGTAAGTGTTTACAGTAAGAAAAGAATATAACAGAATGTTGGATAGGGTAATCTGAGACTGCCTTATACCAAGGAATGTTTAACATTTTTGTTTGCTTATGGTGTTTTGGGATTTTAATAAGTCTGAATGAAGATATATGTTTTTGGATAAGCAATTTCTACATTTATATTTGTATTCATAGTTAAATACTGATGCACAGAGGCGTAACTACAAACCACTGGGCCCCGTGAGCGAAAATTGGCCAGGGACCCCCTATGGGTCTACCCACTCATAGGTCTACTTTTCCCATCCCCCAATAGGTCCAAGCCCTACCCACACACACACACACACACACACATACAGACACATATTCACACACATGGATACAGAGAAACATACATACAGACACACATATAGAGAGACATATATACATACAGAGACACACATACAGACACACATACACTAACACACACACACATGCAAAATGTTTAAGTCACCCCTCTGTTTCCTACCTTTTAGGTGCAGGAGGGTGACTTTTCCTGTGGTCCAGTGGTGGCTCAGGCTGATGGGAGTCAGAGTTCCCACTCTGACTCCCTCTCTCTCCTCCCGCACTGCTCTCTCTGATAGCTGGGAGGAGTGACAGAGGCAGTCACTTCCTCCCAGCATCTGACGTCATCACTGTTAAAGCGCTGCAGCACTGACCGGGGCCCCCTGGAAAGCCATTCCATGGGTTGGCCCTAACAGCATGGTGGCAGGCACCGGTCGGAGGGGTTCGCAGGGCAGTCGGGCCCCCTGGAGTGACGGGCCTGGTCGCAGCTGCGACCGTGGTAGTTCCGCCAGTGCTGAAGCACATGTTTTTGCAGTCCTTGGGCATGGCCAACACAGGATATAAGAGTATGCTAGGGGGATTGGGAGACTGCGTATTGTGGCATTATGAGATCATTTGAAATTCCGTTTGCTGGTCAGGTTTTGTATTGCATTTTATGATGTTTTATCTCTTGTTTATTTACTCGTTCTTAGAAACTGTTGATAATGTTTTAGTGGCCAGTTTAATTATAGCAGTTCTGTGACTTGACACTTGCATAATGCATATGTATGATATGTCTTATCTTTGTTTTTTGTTGGCAATCCAGCATAACAAATTAAGCAGCAGACATATACCATTAAACAATATGAATAAAAAATAAAAAAACAGAAGCATGTTTCCCGTAATGACTTTGAAAACTGACATAGGGTATGCTACATATTCATATACAAAAAAAAGTATATTTAATATAAATATAGTAAACATATAGAGAAACAAGTGAAAACGCTTCATCATTAACACTTGTCATTGTCTATACCAGGGGTAGGCAACCTTTTAGCAGCACTGTGCCAATATAGGATTGTGATGTCCCATAGCATGCCGGTCCAATTTTTTTTTAAATTGAACTGTTTGCTGCCATATTCTGCTTGTGTTATTTATACTGTAATTGCTTTGTATCGTTGTATTTGTGCGTATATGAGCTATTTTATTGTATATGTTCAGGAGTATTTTGTGGTATCGTGTATGATACATATGAATGAGGGCTGTGTATGGGGCTGCTTGTGGAATTGTGTGGATGGATATGTCACATTGTGTGTTTGGTAGTGTGTGTATGTATGGGGCTGTTTGGGGTATTGCATGTGAGAGGCTGGATGTGGGGTTGTGTGCATGTATGTGGATTGTTAGTGGTGTTGCATTTAAGCGGATTGTGTGTGGGCTGTCTGTATTATTTGTATGAGGGGAGGGTTATTCTGCATTTCTGTGTATATCTAGCAGTGTGGGTGGCCTCCCTGAGTTCCAGTGGGGACAGGTCAAGGGCAGGAGCTGCAACAGCAGCTGCGGGCTGTTCTACTACAGTGTGGATTCCTATTCACAAGTGCCAGGAGGAAGTGATCTGAGATCACTTCCTCTACGTGCTGCAATGTATAAATTGAGGATTGTCCTTCACCACCTCTTCATATTAGCAGATATCTGAAGTTTTACTGGGACTCCTGATAGGCCAGAGCCTGTTTGGCTCTAGCAGCCTTGAGTGCCGTGCAAAGGCACCTCGAGTGCCGTGCATGGCACTAGTGCCGTAGGTTGCCTACCCCTGGTCTAGAGAAACTACTAAAACCAGACTGATATATATATAGATATATATATATATATATATATATATATATAAGACAGACTGACATTTAAATAAATATATATCAACAAAATGTATGTAAATGGTGGATAAGAGCTAGTATTCCAACAATGGATTACTTTAGGTAGCAAACACTGGCCAGGAGGAACTCCCTCAATCTCACTAAATATGGTCAAAATACAGTAGGATACATCAAGTTTCGCCAAAGGCCAAAAATAAATATTATCTTTATATACAAAGTTATATGAAAAAGTCAAATGGTCACAGTTCCAAACCTTTTAGCAGTGACCAAATGGTCTTGATTCCTATGACAGATGAAATGTGTTATGAATTATTATTTTAACATTCCAACAATAAAGGTATTGTGGTTTTAATCTATCCATGGAGAGCCTATATATGTATTTAGGATACATTGAGATTTCTCTCATTTTCAAGTATGTCCTGGGTGCACAAAACATTGCATTGTTACAATAGGGTACAATATATATATATATATATATATATATATATATATATATATATATATATATAATATATATGTATATGTGTGTGTGTGTGTGTGTGTGTATATATATATATATATATATATCTATATATACACACACACACACACACACACACACACACACACACACACATATATAAATTTAATACATGACAGGTGCATTCTGTGCTGAGGTATATTGCCATAGATCTCTTAAAAGATTTTAGATTGAATGAAGATTTGACTGTATCCCTGAGGTTATTCCATAATTGCGATGCTCTGTAGATAAAGGAGGATTGAGCCACTTTATTTTTGTATTGTGGTATTCTAAATATCGTGCTAGTACTGGATCAGAGGTTATAGGAGGTGGGAACAGCCGGGGAGAGCTTTCTACTCAGGTAGGGTGGGAGCTTACAAGAAATGCTCTTATTTACAAGGCTGGAAAGATGAAGAGTGTGTCGGGATTCCAACGACAGCCAGTTTAGCTCTTTTAACATGTCACAGTGGTGGGTGAAATAATTATATTCTAGTACAAAG